TTATTGTCACATAACTGTTGGTCACAGCAGAATGACTCATGGGTTCCCAGTTGCACCCAAAAGTGATGAAATATTTGTTTTTTTATAGAATCTGTTTAGAAAAAACAGGTTTAAGTTTGGAAGAATATTTTTTTAAACGATGCATGTGGATCAAACCAATTTCAAAATTTGGGGGTATTTTTCCTGGAAGAATTACATTTTGCGTCTTAGTTGATCAAGGACCATCGAAAAGTTAAAAAAAAAATTATTACGGCAAAAGATGGTAGAGAACAAATCAGAGCTGTGGCAAATTCAGAATGCTTCAATGATGCAGTTGGTAACTCGACACATACAGTCAACTTTACCTCGAGATCTTACACTTCAATAATATCACTAAAACACACCTTGACAGTTCACATTTCTCTGCACCTTTTCGTGCACACTGTCTCCTACTGTTGACTTTCACATGAAGAAGCTGAAATTTTTCGACACAGACATTCATGCTTTGCACTGATGATTCACTTTGGACCGATCCAGCAAATGTCACTATCAGTGCAGCATGAATGGGACCTTCAGTGCAGACGCTGTGGCCTCACGTCTGTGCAGACTTTGAGGCCTCGGCTGTGCTTCAAGTGAATCATCTCACGTCTGTTCCAGTCCATGCGTGTCTGCCACATTTAAATGTTCACGTGAGTCACTCTGACTTTGCATGTAAACGTCTTTGTGTTCATGTGCGCGTTGTATCTTTGCATATTGTGCTTGCACATGTGTGTGTGTGTGTGTGTGTGTGTGTGTGTGCCAGAAAAGGAGCTAATACTGTCCCAGCTCTCAGCCTGGATTAGAAGCTTCCAGCAGGTTTCTGGGGGGTTTTATGTCTAAAACCGCCTAACTAGAGGGAACCCACAACAGCCAATTACACTGTCTCTAGGGCAAAACTTTGTGTGTGTGTGGTTCATCTGAAAGGTAGAGTGGGCACACATACACACACACACACACACACACACACACACACATACTGAGAGAGTGTATGTTAAAGTGGAGCTGGCATCTGGTGCCACTCAATTAGCTGCGACCTGCTTGCCAATAGCCAGAATCCATTTAAGTGCCAGGCCAGGAGCATGAGTAAGCACACACGCGCGAACACACACTCTGCTCTAAGGAACCAACACCAAAACTCTCAACATCTCATCCCCCATTAGTTTTAGTTGGGCTTTTATTTTAGGACACACACACACTTTCGTCTGCTTCTCTTTTGCATCCTGCTGACTGGAAACAAACAGGCTGCTGCAGGATCAATGAGTAAAATCCTCAACTACCAACCAGATAACATGACTTAAAAAAAAAAAATCAATAATTTTGCAAGCCGCACCTGAGCGGAAACAGAATAATAACGCACATCCTATATGTATTCCTCCGGCTGCGCTGCGATGCGAATCCATTTCCTTAATTTAAGATGATAACATTCCCTTATCATTAAATTGACTACAGCGTAAGCTACAGTCCTGAATCTTTATCATCCTGCCAGATAAGGAGTCACCTGAGCTCCTGCTGCACACCGCTGCTGCTGCAGAAGGCACATATCTTTAAGAAAACGCTCACGTCTCTTCCAAACTTCAAACCTGACTCATTTGCGGTATTTTGTCTCTAATTGAGTTTATTTAAGGGATTTGGTTTCCTTAAGAAAAGAAGGGAAACTCATTGTGGATTATTACACCGTCTGAGCGCCTCATGAGACGTGTGTAGAGCGAATCTGGATGAGAAATGTTGTTCTATTTCTCATTTGTCACAGAAGCTGACTGACTCCCTGCTGCTTTGGATGCATTAACAAGCGATGTTCGAGGCCGCTTTCATACGGCGAGAAAGAGCTGCATTGTGATATTGTAGCCAACTGTTCCCACGGCTGATTTATTGGAGAAGCATGAAAAGTTCTGCGAAGGAAACTCATTTAAAAGCTTAGTTGTCAGATATCAGCTTGATCATTTTTGTGATGTCAATGAGGAAACTCTGAGAGATATTTAGCCTAGCTCAGCACAAAATCTATAATAATAATCTCAATCTTGATTTATAGTGCACTTTTTAAACTCCACGTTAGTAAGATAAAACAGAAAAATCATCAGGTTTGAAGACAGACAAAAACACAATTTGCTGTACAAAAACCAACATGGAGTGCAGGAAGTAACTTCTAGCTGAGCTTTTCAAAGATGCCTGCCTAAGCCGTTTTGTTTTTGATGTAATTTACACTCATAAAAGCAGGAAAATAAGATGCTGTGGTTTGAAAAATGATTAGCTCGAGCTTTCTGAGGACCAAGAATCATGGCCAAAGGCAACACATAGCAACTCCTAAATCCTACTTCACATAAAGTTTCTGGCTTCATGCACTTTAAGAACTCTAAACAAAACTCAGGTGATTTGACTGCTCTCTTGGCTCCTCAGAGGCAAGTCTGTATTTAGGGCTAACAGGACCATGTCGCTATCAGAATGAACAGGAAATGATCCATAACTGGAATTTCAATTCCATTTCAGCATAAAAACAGCATGTGTAGAATCACCAGTCAAATCTGTTAAAAACTGTTTAAATATTTTTGTGACTTTCCTCCAATATAAGGTTTAAAAAGTAATTTTTTCCTCAGGTTTTACTTCACGACGCACCCGCACAACTTCACAACATTGTGCTGGAGTCAGTGCAACAACACAACTGATTGGATGCTTGATGATTGCCCGAGACATGGGTCATAAAACCACTGTCTCAAGCATTATCGAATTCTGATGTATGTTTCAATCCAGGATTCTTTAAGTGGTGAATCTCTCCATTATGACTTCAACAGGCCAACAGCGAAGCTACTAATGACGACGCCTGTCACCACCCGATGAGAGTTGTGTATGTGCAAGGGGCATAGCATGGAATGTCCACCGTCTATACTGGGTAATATAAAAGCACTTTCCCACCTTCTCCCAGTCCGGAGACATTCACTGTGATTGGACCAAGTTCTCAGCTCAGGATTCCTGAAGGAACCATGGATTATCCAAAAATAATAACCTCTTTTTTTGTTTCTTATATAATAAATCTGAGTATTAGAATTTATAGTGTCGTAGCAACAATTCACATGAATCACAAAAACACAGATTACAGAAGTACATAACAAACCAGGTATATATACACAAAACCAATTTACTGAGTAGTCCGTCCTGTTGATTGCCTCAGTTGGTACATTCACAGTTTTATCAGTCAGTCAATTAGGATTTATTTCACTTATCGTACAAATAGAATGGAACACAATGTGTTTTACAGATCAAAAGGGGGGAAAAAAACAGTCCATCATAAATGATTGTTATAAATGAAGTGTTCCATAAAAATAGGGACTGAGGAAACACTATCATAAATTAATGCAATGAGAAAACACCAGAGGCAACAATATCAAGTTAAGACAATAATAGAAAAGTGAGAGGTTTCAAATTTTTTTAATAAAAAAAAGAAATGGTGGATTGGTATTAATAGCAGTAGCTGTCAATACTCAAAAGCTCTATGTGAGGTGAACTCTGAATTCGACCCAACATGGGTCGTGTGTGCAACATTTTACGACATTTTGCTGCAATCATTTCACTTGTACACGTGCGACTGGTGTTAGGCATCCACTCACATCTGCTAATGGTGAGGACTATAAGTAAGGAAAGCTTGGGGCAGCTGGGAAAGGTATTTCGCTTTGACAGAGGCCAGTAGTTTTCTGTAGCTACTAATCTTTTAGCCAAGTTCGATGAAACATGTCCTGATTGTAGCTTTGCCATTTAGCTTCTGCAAGAAAGTTTCCCACAGTGTTGGAGCGTTTCCCCAAGTCTTTACACAGCAAACTGGCTTGGACTTGGAGTTAACACACAACGATAAAAATGTGTCTAGCAAAGGGCTTCACTTACAACTTTTCAAAAAACAAGTCTATTTCTCTCTTTTGGACTCAGACAGGGAGGTAAAATGGTTCTGTTCAATTTAAGAATCTCAGTAAACCATGATGACTGTGAACCAACATGCACAAAGACCAGAACCCTAAAACTGGTCTAGAAGATTCAGGAAAAAGCAACCAGACTTCACGTTCATCCAATTGGCTTCTTCAGTTCTAACTGACTAACAGGAGTTTCAGATGTATATATTCACTGCCAACCCACATGGTTAATGGCCCATTAGCGACTCAGGACTCACATGCCACGAGGTGTGAACAGCTATGAAACCAAGTGTCCCAACAACAGTAATGATCAGCTCACATTAGCCATGTGAGAATAATCCTCACTAGTCTGTTAGAACTGAAGAAGCCTCTTGGATGAAGGTGAAACAGCTTAAAAAACCAAAAGGAAGAGTCCAGTTTTCATCTAAAGCTTTTCTAAGTGCATTGATTATCAATAACGTTAACTTCAGTAATATATTCTTTAAAAAATAATGAGTGGCTGGAATTGGAGCCACATTTAAATTCATTTTGATTTTGAGTGATGAATTGATTTTCTTGTTTGTATTGGTGACACATGTGCATACACAATTCTATAAGCACATCCCCATTAATGGCATCAAGCACATCCCCATTAATGGCATCTGAACTGCTGTAGTTAAAATATTAAGGCTGCTGAAGCGGCTGCATTTTGTTTTCTTCTGTGGTGGTGTTTATTTTTGCAATAAGTCAGTAACAAACTGAACTCCTTTCATTCATTTGGAAATCAGGCTGTGAGTCTGACAGTCTTCAGGTGGTAAAAACTACAGGGAATTCGAAGAAGAGTTAGAGGACAAACTCAATTTTTTTGTTTTGCTGCCACTTCATGTGCTTTTATTACTTCCGTGTGTCAAAACGTCATGTGTAAAAAAAACGGCTTCAAACCTCCCAGATTGGTGGTGTGGATTTGACAACTGACAGGAAAATAGCCCATTTGACTTTTTTTTCTTCTCTGGACTGTAGGTTAAACACTGGTGTTTGCCAGCTAAAGGGCACTGATGTCCTGCAAATGTAAAGTGTTTTTGTGTACACGAGGCCGCCTGTGTGTTTTACCTGTCGCAGTGGTTGCACTTGAATGGCTTCGCTCCGGTGTGTTTGCGGTAGTGTCGTGTCAACTCGTCACTGCGGGCGAAACGCCATTCGCAGCCCTCCCATGAGCACTTATAGGGCTTCTCACCTGAAACACAGAGAGAGGGAGAGGAAGGGGGGAGAAGGCGTCACATTTTATTATAATTCCAACATCTAATTTCACACGTCTAAACTACAGCTGTTCGCTAATGTACAGGTTACCCCCCCTGGCTTTTTCCAGACACACACACACACACACACACACACACACACACACACACACACACACACACACAGACACACACACACAGACACACACTGAGCTGAGGGGCTGTCCAGCTTTAACACAACAGCCATTTCAATGAGCCAATACACTCAATTAGCTGTAAATGAAGTCTTTCAGCACGGCGGCATGTTAATTCATAATCCTAAATTCACCCTGAAATGAATCTCGTTTTGTTCCCTCTATTACCACCCCCCACCCTACACACATACACAGACACACGCACACAGCCTGAGGTGGGGGAATCTGAAATGTAAATGAAGTTTCATCCCCCGGTTCACCAGATGGGAGAAGAGATGGTCTATTGTTCTCAGCCTGTAGTTATCTCTCCATGATAGAAAGCCTTCCAGCTGTGTGTGTGTGTGTGTGTGTGTGTGTGTGTGTGCATGTGAGTGTGTGTGTGAGTGCTTTGGTTGGAGGTGTGTGCGTTTGCGGTGTGTAGCGTAGCAGCAGACTGTCTTCAGATGGGACCTGATTATGTCTCGCTGTTTAAACGCTTGTATGAGAGTATGTTTCTCCGTGCGAGTGTGAGTTTGGGGTCAAAAGATAAAGCAGCAAATTTGGCCTTGCACCAAAATCACGCACCGCCCCCAAAATTAACACCACAACTAACAAGCAGAAAGGTAGAAAGAAGTCTACAACAATAAAAGCAAAAAAAAAAAACAACAACCAAACAAAAAAACACGCAATATCCTTTCGTGGAGGGAGACACAAAAATTGATTGGATATTCTGCACCAAGCTATTTATTGTGTCGACACTAACAAGCCTCTTTGGATTGTATGTCACACTGCAATAAATGCTGTATTTCACGCACGAACGCCTTTTTGTGTTTCTGTTCTGTACTTCAGGCAGCCTAAGCTTTTTCATTTTCTACTAAATTCACCCTCCTGCTGCTCAGAGTTTTCTACAGTCCTTCCCAAGAAATCCTGGAAATGTTTCTCTTCTGGCGTGACCCTAATTGTGCGTATCGTCGGTGTGGCTCATTTTATTTTGTCACTTTGTTCATTTCACTTCACAACCTGAAGGGCTGCAAGTGATGCTGGGTGAAAACAAGAGGCTGCGCTGCTGCTGCTACGCGAACCAGCGAGAACATTGTCTGATTGTTTATCAGCATCTACCAGAAACATGTGTGATTGGTCAAAGATGTACTTCGTCCTCAAAGCTTCAAACCCTCAAACCTGCCAGCTGGTTTGAAAGCCATGTTGTGTTATAAAAAAAATCAACAAAACGACTCCATTTTTCAGATCTAGAAACTGTGAAACCAGGAAGAATGATCAGATTTCCAACTTTCCGATGGTCCTTGAACTAATCATGTGTGATGTGTGATGTCATTAGCAAAAAAAACCAAAAACAAATCAAAGCTTAAAATTGTGACATTATTCTACATTCCTTATCTTAAAATTTGCCCAAAAATATTTTCGGATGAACTGCAGGCTGTGTTTACTCAGAGCAGATTGAGGGAAAAATTAAACATACTTGAGCAATAAAATATGAATGCAGCATGGCCAAAAAAAGAGGAAAACAGAGGAGGTAGTTGTTGGAAGATACATTCAGCATGATGAAAAATGCTTTGGGAGCTGATTTGCATAGTAGAGTTAAAAAGGCCTCGTTTGCAGAGGCTGTAAACATGGTAGCACCTATATATTGGGACCAGTATCAGTAACATCTCTGTGCCTTTGGAAAAATATATTTTTGAGTTCTCTTTACCTCTAGCCGTGGTTGCACTGTTTCCATAGAGGTACAAGACTTACTATATTATATACTGCAGTTAAAAGTCGCCCATAGTGAGTAAAAATGTGACAGGAGAAAAAAAAATGTACAGAAACTTGCTTCAACGTTAACCAAAGCTGGTACTCACATCATTTTAATTTAAGAGAAGAAAGAAAGAAAACAAATACTGATAGAGAGGAAACATGTGAAAACACAAGCCACTTTCTCCACTGTACACTCTGTGTTGAAAAAAACTGCCCCAATGTAATTGCAGACCCCTGGTGTGTGTGCGTGTGAACTGGGGGGTGGTAACTATAATTGGGGCCTTAATGACTCTTAATGGGGAGTAATACAGCAGCTTACAGTCAGTTAGCCAGATGTCCCAGCAGCCCCTCCACTGCCATCGCAGCACACACCAATCTTCTTAAGGAGACTAACACAAACACATAGCAATTCACAGCTAAGTGGAGCTGATGCGAAATCTGAAGCATTACAAAATACGGTGGAAACCTAATCGGTTGCAGTAGAAAAAGATGTTTGCACAAGTGTGCGAGTTCAAATGCAGATCCAAACAGACAACAAAATGCTGACAGAGAAGCTGATTTTATCCAGAAGCATCACCTGGTTCCAGACCTCCACATTGCATCAGTGAGCACAAAGTGATCCTGTCTCTCTTATTGGAAAAACAAGCCAATCAGAACTTCGTTGGCAGGATTATCAATTTAATCACCACCCTTCTGTGCCAGAACTGGAAAAAATGATGAAACCCTGGAATAATAATGAGAAAGAAACATTAGCTGCTCATAGCAACCGCTATCTAAGCTTCTGTTTCAACTGAAATGATGTCGGTGGGATGGCTGCTTGCTTCTGATGTTCTGATGTGAACTTTTCTATGCAAAAATGAAACAGTTCAACCGTCAATCCAGCCACTAAAGTGCAATTTAAGGGGCAAAAGTTTTGAATTTCTTTCGTTAAATGAAATATCCAGAGTAAAAGCGGATTCCCTGCTGTTTCTTTCTCTTTTTTTTGACAATTACATGATCTTGTTATACCCTCTAAATGCACAGCTTGAAGGAAACACTCACTTATTCTTTTGACATTTGAACATTAATGGACAAAACCTCATATTTCAAGAAGCATCCCTTCTTTTCATGCATCTTCTTTGTCTTTTATGCTGTTCATATCCCCAACCACACTGCAGGGCATCGCTTCTCCATCCTACCGCAACAGGAGAGCGAAATGTGAGCTCGCTTTTATGAACTTATATTGAAATTCATCACCTTGAATTTCAGAGCACTCCAACAAGAAGAAAGTACACCTTCACGCGGACCAGTATCCAAGGTGCAGAGCGGCTGTGACAGCAAGGTGATGCAACGACATGTAAAAGATGATGTGTTACAGGAACATCCAACTGTGAATGATGCCCTCTTCCCCTTTATTTCCCCACAGTTTGTGTGCCTCTTTGATCGGAGTTGTCCTTTTTATCCACAGACACAACATGACTGCGGTTCCTCTTGGACTAAATTAATTCCAGATCACGAGCTGAGCTGTGCTCGCCACGATTTGCATATTCAAATTTTCCAGTCAAATCTCAGGCAGTCGGTTGCTGATTTCCACAACAGGGACCTGGGTTTTGTTGCTGCCTCATCGCTGCGTATTCTCGGTTATAGGTGTTTCTCTGCCACCTTGCTGACAGTTTCTGAGTCTCGTCTGTCTCAATCTCTAATGGCCATTTATTGGTATTTGAAGATTCCACCAAAGCTGAAAATTTTGTTGCTTCTTATGTAGCTGATGCTCCTCTGTGTCACGTTGAACACTAGATGGAGGAGCAGTTCAAATAGTACTGAATTTTAAATGACAATATCAACATAAAATAAGCTTCTTGCAATTAAACGATAAAATTATTTGTTGACAGAAACAGTAAAGAAACAAAAAAGCCCAAACTAAACTCTACTGAACTTTATATTGAAGTCAAATATACAAAAACTGTGATCATTAAAACATACATTGCTGAAGTTTGTCACATATGAAATATTTTTGAGGTGGTCATCATACACTGCAGTTTCAAGGCAGAAGTGCTTACCCACGGTGGTGACTGCTTATTTCACTCATGATATTGCTTTAAGCAAAACCCTGTATGGACATGGTAATGAGGAAAACTCTTGATTTTTGCCAGTCTGAAGAAGGCGCTTCAGGTCAAGAGGGGACTTGGACTTGTAACTTTCATGACATTCTTTAGGTTCTACTTTAACATCCAGGGGCATCTGAGGGAGAACTAATAGAACTGTGGAAATATGGCAATTGGGTGCTCCATCATGACAACCTGCTCGCTCACAACAAGCTGAAAATGTGTGATTTTTTTGTTGTTGTCCACACTGACATTAATCACCACTCGTCACCCACCCTAGTTGCTACATTTGGCTCTCCACAACTTCTTCCTCTTCCCAAAATGAAATTTGAAGAATTGCCAAGATAAAACCAAAGTGGTGGGTATCTATGTTGCATAATGATTGTAACACTGAGCAACTTTGTTCAATTTTTATTTTTATTTTTTCATGCATCAGTGTCCTATCTTACAATGCTGTCTGTGGTTTTGGGGGAAATGCAGCTTAATTCCATTTTATGCATTGGATGTAGAGCTTGAATGTCAATAAAGTTGACTTGTTTTGCCACAGCAGAGCCCTTCACAGATGGTGTTTGATGTGTTCATGGAACAGGACTTCCAGGGAGCGTTCCAACTGTGGCAGGAGCACTGGGAGCAGCGCACTGCTGCACAAGGTCACTGCTTTGCAGGCGTTTGTCGCCAAATTTAAATCAGGTACAGTTTTTGCTATTTTTAAGTACAGATTCTGATTTTTTTTTTTAAATCACATTTTGTATCATTTTTGCCAGGTGATTGGTTGGACTCAAGATTTAGTTGTTTTGAATTTACTTCAACTATGCCACTTAAACTAGATGCATTAAGCCTGAAGAGACAACAGCAGCTGCCTTAAGCACAAGACATTTCCGAGTTCGAGTTCTTTCGCTCGAAAAAACCCAATCTTGTATATTTACCCTTGAAGATTACTATTTTATGGGGATCCACACTCCTCTGCTACAGCTCAGGTACAGCTGT